TGCCAAAAGGTTTCTTCAAACCTTACAGGTAAGGAATCAGAAGGGGGAGAAGCCATTTCTCATCTTCAGAAAGCTTTCTTTAAGCAGCATCATGATCGTTATATTAATAGTAACAATGATAATGTTCCCTGAAGAAAGCTTTTTGGCTTTTGTGAAGACTCTTGCTGTTTCACATTTCCTTGTAAATTAGTTACAAGAGTTTGATGTTAGAACAAGATAACAATTTCTACCTGATAAGTTGAATATTCTCATTACCTGTTTGCTGCATAATGTTTGGATATTACAGAAGGGAAGAGTTACATGTTAATCACTTCTCAGAGTGTAGGGGTTTGGATAATCTTAGTATTGTTTGAATTGATAATGATCAAGATATCATCTTTCAGTTATGGAGGCCCTCATTGCAGACAGCCCAACAGTTCCTGGTTTGTTAACTGAATATATATTAAAAGGTATCACTAAGTGTGAAAAGACATTTTAACTGACATTGTGTGTCTAGGCTTATCCCAAAAAAGTTTTGCATTACTGGTGGACCATTAAGTGATGTGTGAAAATTTAAATTCTCATGTGCTTACTAGGGTTTGGAGATGAGTTAAAATGCATTCATTTTACACATTACACCTTTACCCCTCAGAGTGAGAGATTTACTAATCTGTCCTTGTAGGATCAAATTTGAATACAATTTTTACCAAACAGAAAGGTGATGAGAAGAAAAAAATACCATGCAGAGGATCTTGTTGATTCAATGCCAAATTCTCTACATTCAAACTGTAAAAAAATGCGTGATGCTCAAAAAAAGGGTTATTGGGTTTTTGGGAGTATAAGCCAGAGGATAAACTTTTCCTTTTCCAGCTGTTTTTTTTTCTAAATCTGGCTGTAATATTCCTTTGGATTAATGATCATGAGAAACAAGGAATGATCACCAATTAAAGAGTCTCTTGATTGTCAAACAAATTCTTCTTGTCAGCACTTAAGGAAATGTATAAAGAACAGTATGAAGACTATGCATACTGATATTAGGGTGTAATGGGTAAATTATTGAGGTTGATTGTAAAATTGTTTTGTCCCATTAGTGCTGTGTGCTGAAGACTAGTCTTTGCTGCTCCTCAGACTTCAAATGTGAGTGTTCTTAAGGTGTCTTAATTGAGTTTTTCTGTTTCATAGATTAGATTACAGATTATCAGTTGACCAATTTTAGAAGTCATTATTTTTTATAATTGATTTAGTTTTTTTATGATACTATTTTTATATTCTGATCACCAATTGATATCAGCAATCTTTCAGACTTGCTGATTGATTTCTGTTTTTAAGTTTTATGTTATATTGTATTAATTTATAATTTTATATACATGAAATAAGTTTCAGAGATGTAAGCTGCAAGACACTAGTAACCATGATCCCACATATTGTGCTTTATTATTCCACTGTTATGCCATTTTAGAATATTTGGGTGATGGAATGCACAAAATATCCTAATGTAGTACACTGTAGAACAGAGCAAAAATAGGGATGGAAAGTGGAAAAACAAAGTGGCCTCAGTGAACCATCCAAACTTTGATTTGTTTTCTGTTTTCAAGGCCTTCTTTTTGACCAACAAACTTTTAACTGCATGAGCCTTTTTTATGTTAGGACCTAGGCCCGAAGTGGTCAACACAATGCTCACATAATGCAGTGGGATGGATTTTGAATTTATTGGAGGCCAAAATACTAGAAAATGAAATAGTGAAGTTATAAATCCCATATTTAATGGTTTAACATATAGTGTCTGTGGGAATTTTCTTAATGCTCATATTTTTTCTGTAAATTACATATTTTTTGCTAATGTAAAAACTGTGCAATTCACAAAATATTTGCATATATTATGTGTTAAACCATCAAGTATAATGAATATATTATGCTTTCTTTAATCCTAAAGACATTCTTGATTTCATTTCTTGATTTCAGTTCTTGGACAGTTTATGACAGAAAGAAACATTTCATTATGCTTCTATATGTCATGTCCCGTCGCAGCACCATCAGCACAAAGATTTCATTGGCCTTGGCTGTTACATGCACACATAACTGATGAATGAATGAATGGTGGGAAAAAATTTGTGTTCAGATTATACACTACACAGAGAATAATGAAATTGGTAAAAGAGGCTTCTTAGACTATTGCTCAAGTTGTGTCATATTGAATGGGTGACTCCAAAACACAAATGAATATTTCTAATTATGGGGGCAAGTCAGTAAAACTGACTTAGCACAACTCATACAGTTTCAGATGAAATGAGTTTACCCAAATACATTATAAATATAAAGAAAAATAATTATTCAATAGTATATCAAGCAGTTTTAAAAGTGGCTGCTTCAGATGTTCAGGGAACCAACTACTATATGTGATCAAAGTAAAAAAAGGACAATTAAGATGTTTGCAGTGCCATACAGTGGGGCTCTTGACCCTTTAATCCCCAACATTTAATTCTTAAGTCTCCCTTCTATCTGCTATTAATATTTCTTGTTGTAAATTAGTAAGGAGAATTTTGTGTTGCATCACTATAATGTCATTTAACTGATAAGTTTGTCTGTTTGCTGAATTCTGAATTAGTGTTGTAAGTAGTTTAAGGGTGGAAGGGGGATAAGATGCCTGTGTTGTCATCTGAAAGTCAAAATCTTAGATGGCACTGTGTCAATAATTTGTTGCTGATGGTTTAAGTGTAGTCCAAGATTCAAACATTAGTTACTTCACTTGCTTCTAAAACTCATGTTCTGAAATTATCAGTTGATATATTGTGTATGAATATGGAATTAAGTTGTTAGTAGTAACTGTGGCTACTGTTGGAGAGGAAGTGACACTCTGTGTAAGAGATAAATGTTTCCAAAAGGAAAATAAGAGAGCAAGTAGATTTTAGCGGTTGTTATAATATCTTGATTACGACTTATTGAATTTATTGCATTGCACTGACTGAAGAACTGGTGGGTTTTCATTGCTTGCATTAAATATCCATTAAGTTGAAAATGTTTGTTGAACTTGTAAAAGATGGCTTATTTATTTTGTAATATGTTAAAATGTTTTCTTAATATATTTTTTTATTTAGTCTATTTTTTAAGCAATTCTAGGCAAATATATTTAAAGACTTTTGAAGAAGCATTGATGATGCACATTGCTTGAAGTTAAGTCTAAGAAGGAGTTATGTCTAACAAGGAGAGAAATTGAAGGTACACACTGCATGCAAAACCAACAAATACTTAAAATAGACTGAGTCACATTATTTTAGGCAAGTTCAAAGCTGACTGGTGTAGCACAGGTTGGCAAGGTTAGAGGATTTTAGGCAGCATTTTTGAAATTTACTTCATCTGCCAGATGTGACATACTTTGGTTTTGTTAAAGGTTACATTAGTTTGGAAATGTGCCAACCAGTGTCTGAATTCTATTCACCTACAGAGAAAAATAATGAAAACAAATTAAACCTTCTAAAATACTGTGACCCAGCCCCTTTGGCATGGAAACACCTATAAGAAAAGGTATGTCTCCTCTATTAACGTGGCTGGATACATTTTCCCAAAGCTCTGACAACAATAAAGTTTACAACACTCTTTTTTGAATTGGCTTGAGTAAATTGGTTGAAATTGATTCAACAGTGAGGCCTTACCCAGAAAAAGAAAATCCTAGCTTACTATCATTATTTTGCTGAACTGTCACTCAGCTTTGAAAACTCTTTACAGAGGATTTTTCAAGACGATCCCCAAATGACAGTTGAATATCAATGTTGATTGTCATGCCAGGTCCACCTATTTCAAATGTCTATCATAAGGTCAATACATGTGAAAATTGTTTAACTGCAAAGAGGGAGAGTTGGTATTCGAGAACTCCGATTGTAGCCAGTCAGAGCTAAGGAAAACTGTATTCAGCTACCTTGAAGATTGCTATAGGCAGCACTGTAATAGGTCTGCAATATTTAATCCCAAATCTCCCTTCCCCTAGGCACTCACTTGACAGTTTGTTATTTTTACATTCACATGTGACTGATTCACAGTCAGCATGTGTTATTTCATTATTGTTTTATAAATTTCAAATCAGAGATATATTGTACATACAAATAATAATATATGAAAATAAAGCCGACAGTTTATAAATCTTGGTGTTAGTTTATACTGCATTTGTGTGAACTTGTTTGAAATTAACTTGACAAATAGATTCCATGTTGCGGAGGGTCCATTTAGTTATGGATCACAGCAGATGATGTCAAGATGTGGTAAGAACAAAATAATGGCACATGAGGCATAGCTAAGTGTCACTGAACAGACCAGTGGCCACATTGAATCTATTTGCTTTATATCAGAAAGACAGTACAGTTTTTGTAACAGTGACTCCATCTATGCATCTGTCATCCAGTAGATCATAGATTTGAATCCACTGAAATGATTGTATAGTACAGCTTCTTATATCATAATTGTTTATGTGATGGAATCTGGATCAAAAGGTTTTGGAATGAACCTTGGCTGCTATTATTTAAAGAGGGGTGGAAGTGTAGTCTCCCAGAAATCTATGCATTTTCATTTCTATCACCAAGCTACATTACCCACAGGTCTTCTAGCCTGCAGGCAGTGCATTTCTCTACCCAAAGGGAATATTTTCACATGGTCCACAAGTCATTGCTAGATTCTTTGTGGACTACTCCCAGGAAAATGCACCTGAAGGCCTCATACTTTCCCATGCCCAAAGTAATGCTTGTGCTGAAATACTACTAATGAGGGCCTGCTCGAAAGCTACAGCTGTCCAAGGGCAAACCAAAATCACCAACTTCTTGCCATATGTATAAAGTTATTGAAAATTATAATTATCATTGTCAATTTATCATCATCACAAGTAATGTGTGGCAAACAGTTCAAATAAGGATTGGTTAATGGCTGAATTTAAATTTTGAGTTACAAACATGAATACCCTTCAATTGCATGAAGTAACAGCCCTGCTACCATTTAACTCTCTCTTGAGTATACAAAAGAAAGAGACAGACCACAGGTTCAGTTTAATTAGCATTTTAATTAGATAGCTGTTCTGAGAAAAAAATGATTGAGATTCCCTCTTTGAAACTCTTCATATTTAGTAATATCTAGTCAGGATTGGTGGGATCTGAGAGCAAGTGGCTTTAGTTAATTCACAAAACTATTACTGAATTTAGGTAATACTGAACAAGGAAGATATCATTTATTTCCTGACTGTGTAACTTAACATAATTGATGAAATTGATAATCAAAGAAATCAATATCACTCAATATCAATTGGGATATCAAAGGAGGAAATAATTAGTTATCATAACTTGTTTTAATGTAAATGGTTGTTTTGGCGTTGAGCTGACTCTTACTTTAACCCTCAAACTCCCAACATCTGATTGTTAATTCTCCCCTCAAGCTGCTCAACATTTCCTTGTAAATTAGTCAGAAGAATTTGGTGCTGATCAAAATAACAAATTGTAACTGATAAATTTGAGTCTTAGAGGACCACAATAAGAACTATTGGTTCTACCAGTAATTGTGTTATCCAATAAAGTCATTATTATCATTATTATTATGATTATTATTACTTATTTGCTGGATGATGTATGGACATTATTGGGAGAAGTTACATGTTAACTGGAAGTTAAAGGGTTAACAATGAAAACTGCTTTTGAAAGCAATCAGTATCATAAAGCTGCATGGGTCCCAAAATACAATTTAATTTATGTCAAGTGTGATTATAAAGAGTGGATGTTTGGGTAACACAGTGACAAAATTATTGAGGTGACTAAAAATAGTTTTTACACACAATACATTTTAGAAAAAAATTCCATGATAAAGATGGCCACATAATAATACAAATCATTACATCCTGTTGCATTCTTTATCATGCTTATTAATAATTTATCCTCATCTCTTTACATAAGAATGCTACAACTTATTTATTCAGCAAGTTGTAATTAATTTAGCAACCCCGATAAGAAGGACTCTAACATCTCTGTTTGAAGTTTGAACAGCAGTCTCTGATTTGTGGTTACACTTTACTGGTCTGTCAATTAATATGAATTATTTGTCACTAATTTAATTTGTTTTTTCTCATGTGCTCATAACAACTTGTGATCAGAAGTTTTACTTCTACTTTGACAGATAGTGAAGCTTGTGAAGACTGTGTCACCACCGAGGTGTGGGTGAATTGTGCAATGGATGCAGTCTGCTTAGTTTGACTTCAACACACGCTTGGTTCCCTTGTAGCTGGTGGTGTGACTTTGGGGGGATTTGTATGAAGGCGAGTCACTGGAAACAAACATCAACAAAAAATTCAAAACAACTGATTAAATACATACACAAATAATGGATTGAAGCAGTGAGATAGATAGAAAGTAACTTAAGGTTGTTTTGTCATGTATGGTCATTAGAAGATTTTTCGGTAAATGTGAATAAATCAAGAAACAAAAAATTGCCACACAAAAAGAACAGTTCTCTGCTACTAGGTAAATTATTCTTGGTTTTGAACAATTGCACTGTACACTAAACATATTGTACATTACAAAAATCAACCATCAACATTGGATCTGAAAACTCTTTCTCAAGAGAAATGCAAGTGGTACTTCCAGGTAACAGTCATCATTTTACCTAAACACATTTTCACAGTTAGTGCCTGAGTGGCAGGTCATCATATACACTTACAATAGCCAAGGCCCTGAAGAAACAAGATCAGTGACGTAGCAACTTTATGTGGCTGTTCCTCCAGAGGCATACCACCACTGTCAGACACTTTAAAGTAGTTGGAATTTGAGGGATCCAACCTTGAATTGGTGTCAATGACATCATCTTGGTGGGGAGAGTTAGCTCCTGTTATCAGTAGACATGCACACTTCAATGACTGCACTTTTTTGCCGCTAGTGGGGTTGGGCCGCTGAATCTGAAGATCTGTGCGATGGAGGTAGGAGTTGATGAATAGAGAGAGATTGCGAGGAGACAGGACTGAATGGAGACTCTGTTTAAAGGCATGTACCAGATCCATATTTTCATCCTTTGTCTTTTTACCAAAGTGGTGCCAAAGAAGGTAGTCTTCCACAAAAGTTGTCAGACCCTTTTTCTGTAGCTGTTTGACACACAACTACAAAAAAAAAAATTGGCATCAAGTTTAATGTCAAATCACATAAGTTTTGTTTTCAAACTTAAAATTTTGATTCATTTTAACATTGAATATGTTATCAATATACCATAATACCACAACCTGTAGTAATCGATAAAACATCAAAACTTTTAATTGCACACTGAACAGAATGTCAAATTTTCATCTCTTCTCAAGTCAAGTCACCAATCCCACTAGAGAATGGGGATGAACAATAAGTTCACTATCCTGAAAAATGGTTAGGAATTGGGTATGGGATATCCTTTCGTTCAATTTTATAAAGTTCCCCCTAGCTATTATAACTACTTTAAATTAGGTAGTGCTCAGAGCATGAGGAACCAAACTGTCTGTTTGAAAAACATACATGCATGTATGTACCTCACTCATACAAATTTTGGATGTATCCCATTACAGAGATCCACCCTCATCAATCTCACAATTTCCACGTATTTTGTGAAGCCCTCTAATACGTCTCACCGGTAAGCTAACAAAAATGATTTTCAAAAAATCTTTTTCGCACACACCTCCGCCCCACTTCACCAGAAAACAACACCAAAGCACAAATCATTTTTGAACGTGTAAAAATAAGTAACGAATATATTTTGTTTTAGTATAAAACGCGCAATTTAATGAATAATTAAAACCCTGTTCCAAGTTAACAGAAGCATAGTTTAAATGCCCCCCTTGCACACTTGCAAAATAAGCTACTTTTAAAATTTCATTTATAAAATAGCATACCTTTTGATATCCCCAATCGATCCAGCCGCCATTAGAGGCCACAAGCTCTACCAGTACCAGTGCTTCAACTTTCGTATGGTTCCACAGCGCATATCGACTGAGGATATTGGCTCCTGCACCCACTCCGAAGCCAATAAAGCGTTTGATGCCGAAATGACTCACAATTTCTCCTACCATGTCCGATAACTCGTCCATCGTTGGGTATGAATATTCCTCTGGCAGTTCCTCGCTATCCTCCTCCTGGCCTGGCGCATCGATGTGGTAGATGCAGAAATTATCGAGAAGTGGACGAGTCTCGTTGAAGTTGAAGAAACCCAAAAAAGCTGATGTATGATTTTGTCCAATATCGTGAAAAGTGACAATCGCAGTCTTTCCCTCTTTACCTTGTCGAGTTACACGCACTTTCCCTCTGGAACAAGGCACATCGTGTTCGGATAGAAGCGAAATAAACGCTCCATGATCATCGAACACTTTGGCTTCAGATTCGTGGATATCTATGGAAGTGAGACTTACAAGTGGTTGTGAATCCATCATGCTCGTCCTTGTTCGTGTTTTGGCCAAGTCGTGATTGCAAAGATGCATGGGATTGTTCCAATATCGATGATATTTTCAATGTAAATTATATGAAGTAATAAACGGAAACTTTTGCGAGGTGCAAATGAAATGTACTTCGATGATCAAAAGTTCTTCATCCTTTTCTTTGAATCATAACTTTCGTATTGTAGTTATCATGTACAACTATATTTAAGGATGGAATCTGAAGAAGCCTCTAACGATAGAGGTGATTATATGAGCTCTGAGGGTACAGTTGAAGATACTCATGCAGAGAATTCGGAGACTGAAGTTGATAAACAATCTCGTAGTCAAGCTGATGAAAACAGTGACCTCTTACCAGATGAGAAGTTACCCCAGGAACCGCTTAATGACCAGGAACGGCATTTACTGTACGAAAAAGGAATCAAGTAAGCTCTAAAAATACTTTGCAATTCAGGCTGTGGACGAACGTATGAGTTCATAAAATGTGTTTCTTTTTCTCAGTTATTCAGTTGTGATGAGTTTCAAAGTTTTTGCAAACTTCAAAGCTAAAAACACAGTCTGATCTGTAATCATATGTGAATGACCCACGTAAAATTTATGATATCATATTTGTTTGTCTTTCTCTTCATCTTTTCTTGTGTTTTTCTCTCAACCTGCGCTTCTTTTCACATCCTTGTAATAGTCAGTCAGGCAGTCAGTCAATTAAATTAAGCAGGCTGTCAGTCGGGTAGTTAATGAAGTCGGGCAATCAAGCATTCATTCATTCAGTCAGTAAGTCAGGGTAATTTAGTAATATTAACTGAGTTGATAATGTAAATTGGCCACTGTAAAGAGCTTCAAAGCTGATGTTTTGAGTGTTAGCCCTCCATCAGAGTCAATCATGAGGAAGGGCTTAAATGCGCGAAATGTCAACTTTGAAACTCTTTATGGTGGTCAATTTACGTAATCAACTCAACTGATAATAGCAAATTACCTTGTTTTGCTCTCTTTGTAATGCAGCACTACAGTTTTTTTAGAAATTTATCCAATTTAATCAATCAGTCTGTCTGACAGTCAGTCCTTCAGTCAGTCAGACAGCCTGTCAATCATTCAGTCAGTTAGTCAGTTTGTCAACCAGAGTCAGTCAGTGGTCAGTGATTAGTTGTATTATCAATTGCTTAATAGTGCTGCAGCACTATACTGAAATACTTTCTACAGAGAGGTGAAATTGATTGGCTGTCATAGTGTATGTATCCAAGTTATCAATACCTAGTAAACAACTATAACAAATTTCAAACTGTTTTCATTTCACTAATTAAATTTTATTTAATTGTTTTCAGATTCAAGGTAGGTAGATGACATTTTTCATTTATAGTGAGACAATTTATTTCTCTTTGAAATTTTGATTAGAATTGGTTTTTCTGACATAATTAAATTATTAATGATATTTCCATCCCATAAACAGAAGAAGGGTAATTTGAGACATGCTCTGTACTGTCTGTTGGCCTGTGTGCGAGGGTTGAAAGATGGATCTCACTTTCAACAACTTCCTGAATGCCTTCACAATGTGAGTGTGTGTGATCCTGTTCCATACCAAATTTCTAGATAAATTTAGAAAGTTCCATTACTGACAAATATAAAAACTAGAAGTCAAAGATGCATTTGAAACTCATGGATGCACAAAGGAAAAGCTTTCATAAGTACTGTAACCTTCATTTGCATGTTATGGTAAATGTTTCATTGAATAATTGTGGGCTGGCTATTTTTTTCAGAATGAAATCTGATTGTTGTCTCCCATTTGATACCTTTTTCTGTAAATATATCGTTGTTCTTGAAGTGTTTTTTGTTAGCTTTTTGTGTCTTTTTTGACTGTTTTCTCCTATTTACATTCTCCTTTACTTTTTGTGACTAATTACTTCTCAATATAACAGACAATATCTGTTGCTATGTAGTACACATGTATTTTTTCAGTGATTTGTAAAGCTCATGATTGTAAAATTAGATGTTTCATATCCTTTGTTTCATTGATTACCAATTACCAATCCAACAAACAATTAACAAGATAGAACATTAAGTGTGGAAAGTATTCTAAGATTGCATTGGTTTTGCTTAACTTTGCTCTGTGATTGGTGAAGAAAACTTGCCCCACTCTCTCAGCCAATCAGATGGAAAACTAAAACCAATGATGACTTGGTTGTTTCACTTTGAGTTCTAAAAGACTCTTAACCCCTTAACCTCCAGAAGTGATTCACATGTAACTTCTCCCTACAATATTCATGCATTATCCATAAAACAAGCAATGAGAATATTCAAATGTATCAGGTAGAAGTTGTTATCTTGATCAAACACCAAATTCTTGCAACTAATTTACAAGGAAACATTGAGCTGCTAGAGGGAAGAATTAACAATCAGATCTTGGGAGTTAAAGGGTTAATGGTTTTCCTCTATTCTTCTGATTGGTTTTTGGGATTACGTTGGTTTTAATTTAAGACACCCAAGCGATAAGTGCACTGGTTGTCTACAAATGCTCAGAGTTGTTTATATATCATAATCTGAATTATTTTATATTTTTGCAGATAGCAGAGATCTACAGCCAGCTTGGAGACTGTATCTTTTAATTATCAGACCCTGGTTGTTTGAAAGGTGGGTAGCACTGTCCATTGGATAAATCTTTCTCCAGTGGATATTTCAAATCATTTCATCACAAGTAAACATTTATCTGCTGGATAATGATTTATCTGTTGGATTGAGTTATCCACCTATGAACAACTGCACCTGAAAATTAAACAGTATAGCAAATGAGCATACTGATGTTAAGGTGTGAAGGTTAAAAGAGGAAAGCATAGACATGGCTTTTTGCATCTTCAAACCTTCAATCATTTTGGTTTCATGTACTGATTGAGAAAAATTGCAAAATTGTGAATGTTGCTGGGTGATAATTTTGGTTATCATGCAGAATGTACTTCTACCTCATCTGGATGTCCTTGTTGCAGTAACTTGGACTGCAGAGACAGAGAACTTAAACTCAAAACTCCTTCACCCATTTTTCATGTCATCATGAAGAATTTACAAATTTTATGTAACTATGTGAACCCTTAATTTTATGAAGATGAAAATGCTGTTTCATTTGCCCAGGCAGAAAAACTTTATTATGAAACATCTCTGATAAGTGCTGGTAGCATGGTACAGCAAGAACAGGATGGATCAGGTGAGTGGGGAGCATCAGATACTGATGATCCTAGAGTGGATCTAAGGCTGCTTACAAGACTGACTCTCATAGCTGTAGGAAGTACAGTAGAACCTGCTAATTTGAACTTAGTTAAGTCCAACTCCCTGCTAACTCGGGGAAAAGGTGTTTTCTCCTGAATTTTATCCCATTTTTCTGTCATTTATTATCTACCAGTAAACTTGAACTCAGTGAAGTCTAACTTCCCATTAACTTGAACCAATTTACTTTCCCTTGGCTCAAATTTACCCTCAGGCTGATTACTTGAACTTTAAATAAAAAACTTAGTCAATAAATGTCAATATGTCAGAACATAGCAGTTTGACAAGTCCCAGTCTTTATATCATGATTGATATAAACATAACTACATGTATGAAAATGTAGAAATAGGCCATTTTACATTCAGTACTGAAACCTTGTTGTGTTAGAGACCAGAATCTAGTTAGCATGATAAAAAATTAATTTGCATTTCAAAAGCAGATCATAACAAGGTCCCACTAACCTAAACCACAAATCCCAATAACTGGATCCCCCACTAACCTAAACCATTTTCTTTTCCTTGGGGGTTTGAGTTAGTGGAGTTGTAGTGAAGCCATGTTTGCTGTACATAAAGCAATTAGGTGTTATGCAACTCTGTTTGTATGAGATGCTACAGCATTGAACCTCAGTATTTCTGTCAGGTTTTCCAGACTGTTTGCTGCCACCTACTTATACTTTTGTAGAGAGAGGGCACCAAGAGATTAAAGTAGATGTAGATGGCAGCCAGAAGTTAAAGGTTCTCATTCTTGGTGCTCACTGCATCTTTTTTATTGGGAGAGTTTGGTTCAAAATATTAAAGTGATGACCTTTACATCCAGTACGTTGGTGTGAAAGCACTCCAGAGTTAGTTTTATTTTTCTTCCGGTCACTGTCCACATCTCAGAAACAACTCATACCACAGTATGAACTCAGTTCAATGTATTAATAGCCATGTTTATGATATAATAGATAGTGTTGGCAGTACATCACCATCTGACCAGACCACAGGAAACACAACAAGGACCACAGAAGCTCTGGTTGGCATCCATTTTTGTTTTTGTAATGTGTTCTTCTTACTTACCAATAACATAACTGTGGATACCTAGAAAGCAAACTATAGACAGAAATCATATTTTCAACATTCATAGGAGAATTGATCTATATGTTCTTCCAGATACTTGTAGTGTTCTTTTTATGAGAAACTTCAGTGATCTGTACAAACTGGCATAGTTTGGCAGATGTCAGCTTTTGTCTGTTTCCTATCTACCTTTAGTCTGCAACCCTTTAACCCCCAAGAGTGATAAGCATCCAATTTCTCCCTTCAGTATCAACATGATCAAAGCATTTAGGTCTTGAGATTAAAGGAAATGATCACAAACTCAAGAAGTGTATGATTGTTTGACAAGAGAGAACATTATGGAGAACTTGATTACTGATGTTAGTGTGTAAAAGTTTTAGGTATTTCTCTTGGTTGATAACCTGTGTAACTGACTTTAGAAAATATAGTGAATCTTAATAAACTGAAAACCTTAACTTTGTTTGATCTTAGCATGCTGTTAAAGATGATCCAAAGGAACAAACAGCTGAAGCTCGATCAGCTAATGAATATGAGAAGCTTGCACACATGTGCCTCAAGCAAAAAGAGTAAGTCTCTTCAGAAGTCTTGAATGGTAATTTTATAAATGGTTATATTATTTAGCAAAACAAGTCTTGAAATAACACAGGGTAGTCTTATTGTGAGCCAAAGCCTTAGATTTAGCACCCAGTATCACAAGTAGTAAGCCCAACCTTAAACTTTGCTTTAGCTTAGCCTGTTTAGAAGTGATGCACATGACACTATTCTTGAAAAACCATCCCCTAGTATCTGTGCTATACAAAAGTTTTCTCCAGTTTATGATATACAAGTAACTGAACTCTGACTCTGAATATATGAAAATCATATATGTGAACTGCTGATAAAGACGTGAATACTACAGTGACAAGCATACTTCTTGCTCGCTGCTATAAATTTCATTATCCTTTGAGATTTTCCCTTGTTGGTCAGGTGATGCCCACCTTAATTAAGTACCAAGTTTTTACACTCCTCCCCCCTTCCCCCTCTCCCAATTCCATCTTTTTAAAAGCCATAGCTCTTCCTCCTCCCCCAATCCCATCTTTTTAAAAGCCATAGCCCTTCCGCCTCCCCCAATCCCATCTTTTTAAAAGCCATAGCCCTTCCCCCTTCCCCCTTCCCCCTTCCCCAATCCCATCTTTTTAAAAGCCATAGCCCTTTCCCCCTCCCCCCCCCCCCCATCCCATCTTTTTAAAAGCCATAGTGCAGTATGAATTAGACCTAAATTATTTTTGTAATATGACAGGCACATATTTCTTATCATGAGCTGAGGGGAAACCTTAATGTTGTATAGGGCAGTGATGTGTGGTGAATTTTCAGGGCTCTGCTGTTAAATTATTCAGTCAACAGTGTCTCTCTCTGATCAGTTGTTGATGTCTGCAATATGGACCAGTAGACTCCAAGGAAGAAAAAATCCAGAAGGGTCCAATATTGATATTAACATGTTGACATGCATGTTTTGTGTCTTCTTTTGCAGTGCTCAGCTGGCACTAGAATATTGTGGCAAGGTAAGATATAACATAAGTGATATTTTTGAGAATCGTTTGGCTAGCAGCGGTAAGTGTGAGGTGAGCATGAAGAGTAAGTCATGTGAGAGAGGACGTCAACCTTGTACGTGTGACTCCTTTTGCGCATGCGTCCACCTGATTGAGAAACACAATAAAGTCACTCCAGTTGTGCAGGCTATTTTGTAGTTTTGGTTGTTTGATTAAAAGAGAATTGTAAACCCCTTCATGTGCGCAGAATGGAAAGCTCTACTCGGCCTGAGCATATTAACAAAAAATCATCTATGATTTTTGCTTTAAGGCCGTCGGTTATAATTTTAATAAAAGAAACTACAGGATCGTTTAGTTAAAAAACTGACAGAAGTGATATTCATCTTGTTATCATGCATTGATTTCGTTAAATTCTTAAGGATGGGTATCAGTTCGCATCAACTTTCGGCAACGAAGAGTAGCTGAGTGTCACTTGTAATTATCCGATTTCATTTGAAGTTTTGATCTTAACTTTCCTTCAGGCCGTTAAATTACGTCAGTCTATTTACGGAGAGGAACATCCCGTAACAAAAAAGACACTTGATCTTTTTACTGTCATATATGCTGAGATGGGAAAGGAACAATACACAGGTGCGACTCAGTACTCCAATCAGAGATAGAACAAGTTGTTCATCTATTACTGGCACTTGACAAGACTAAAAGATCTAATCCCCGTAAAGTAACTCTGCCCAAGTTATTTTTCGATCAATTTTTTTTGGAGATGCCTATTATCGTCGGACTTAACCGTTGGTACTAGAATCCAGCGATCTACTATGCTAAATGAAATGATGAAGAAGTGCACTCCATGTCGTCCCTTAGAACCTTTCATCGATTTTTTTGTTTGTTTGATAGCTCGTTGTAACTTGAAAACTCTTAATTTTTCTCAGTTAGTTCAAGATTTTACTCGACTGTAAGGGTTACCTTATTTTCTTGGTTATGGGTGTTCCGCTAGAGCTCCGCCATTACTTTTCGAGATACAAAAACCAAAAGGCAAAGATGGTGGCCAGGGAACGAAGAAGACTGAGAAAGATTGTAGGTGGCGAATATAAAAATAAGTGAATAAATAACAGCTACATTGACGCATATCTCTTTTTAATTCATGTCCTCTTCATCTGTTATTCTCTTATCACAGCTGCCATGCAGAAATTCAACGAAGCTAAACAGGCCACTGATACAACTGCTGAGGAAGAAGAAAAGACTGCAGAAACTGCTGAGGCTAAAAAAGATGACCTCGCTGAGAACAATGAAACATCGGTAGATGAAACGTCAACCTCTGCTGAAGAGTTACATGACAGAGGACAAGGCACAGTCACGCCTGCAGCTAAAGGTGGCGGTACGCATTGACGTTTCTTAAATCTTTAATAAAGGACTTCTAGGTCGACATACATATACTACTACGTGGAACTAATATTGAATTAAAATCTAAGTTTACAATTGTGATGGATCATAAGTCCCAACCAACAAAATGCATGTATAATTCAGCTTATCGTATGAATAAAATGAATTCCTCTTTTTGTTCTCCATACAGACGAAAAAGTCAGTCTCTCTCCCGGTCAGGCAATGTTCTTTTTCTTTCTGATCACGGCTGCTGTAGCTGTTTGTGTGACACTGTTTGTCTGTCACATAAGCGGTACGGATCCAGGTACAACGTTCAAGTACATAATGACAAGGCTGAGGTTTTACTATTACTATTACGTCAGACGAGCTCCTGCGGGAAACAGTTACTTCTGATATGCGAGAGACGCGATATACCGTGACACTTTGGTCATGTTTAACGACTAAATGGAGACGACGAGGGCGCTAGATGGTCAGAATATCGCCCAATCAGCAATTTACCATTGCTAGTAGTTTGACTACCCTACTCTCTCTCTCTCTGTCTCTCTCTCTCTTCTTACACCTGCTTCTTACTTATGCATTCCGTTTGCCCTCTTGTATAAATTCCCTAGGATACTTTTTTCCACATGTTGCTTAAATAAACTGTTGAGAGGAATAAATAGAGCATATGGATGTCATGGACATTTTTAAACCAGAGGCTGGTATCTTGTGTTTAGTTTCATTGAGGTGTATTTCTATTCAGTCGTGCTATGAAAAAAGATAAAGGTAAAACTCATGCCATACGTTAGGCCAATTTTTATCGTAACTTGGCGACAGCCCTTTTTGCGCATTGGTGGAGTTGGCAATTTGGCCGGCCACATGTTTCATTTGGCTTTTTACTCATGCTATGGAAGTAAGTGAAAACATCAGATCCTAGAAACGAGATATTTCATTTAAAAAAATTTTTCTTGGGAATTTTAATCCTCGCCTGAAAACTGGCAAAATTGACGCCTGTTTTTCCAGGCAAAATGGACTCCGGCTGGTATGTCCAAGGGAGGAAACTTTGCGGCATATGATTCTTTATTTCCCGATCCTATGGAGGAATCTCTGTAGTCTTGGGATGACCTTTACATATAGGGCCCATTTACATGGTGTCGAGTATCCGAGGCAACCCTCCCTCTAAGTTATCCTGGCTGGGGTTACTTTCCCTCATGTCTTTGAAAAATTCAATGAACCGTTTACATGAACCCGGGGACGAGACAATTCGGGAGGGTGGGATGTCTCGCCTCAGCTGGTAGGCCCATATGAACGTGTTGGTTCGCCTGCTCGAGACGGGACGGCTCAAATTATTTCCGGAGCCCGTGTGTTTTAGGTCTGCGGAGACCATTTTGAGTAACACTGTTGCACCCTGCCTAGCTGTCACGAGAGAGGCTGGTGAGAAGACAGCTGTTACAACCCACAACTCCACATAAACGCTCCGTAGAGTTGTCTAGAGGGGGAGGGTTATCTCGGCTACCTGAGACGATATAAGTAAGGCCTCTTTTGCTCTGTCTAGTCGTTTCTTGCCTTACTTCTCTTCGTTATTTTGTTATTCATGGAATATTTTATTGATTATAGTATCAATTGATTGCAAATCAACCTAGGTACGTTTTGAAATTGATTTTCAGCCATTACTCTTGTAAGACAGAGAATGGAAACATAAATAGTAGCGGTGTAAAAGAGGAACTTTATTTTTTGTGTAGCGGTTGTGAGAAATCTGATTTCTGTCGAGACTTATCGAAAAAATGACTTTTAATGCTTCTGTTAAACAACACAGAAATCCTGATAAATTATTGATTACTTAGAGTGCTTTCAAATATCGATGAATTATTGATCCCTGAGAGCTTTTGCAATAGTAATAATATATTGATTCCTCCGAGAGCTCTTTAAACAACCTCCTTTTAAAGTGAACTGACGCAGCAATGTTATTTTTAGTGTAAAGTGATCTAAGTCTAATTAAGTTAATTGATACGCATTCGAAACCTTTCATTCGATATTAAAAATCGTGAACAGAGAGGCTTCTAACTGAGACCAAAAGTTTTTATTACCAAAACCTTTAATTTCTTTAACTGTTTTCACTAATAACGCGGGACCCTTTAATAAGCTCACAAAGAACTTGCTGTATTAAAAAAAAAATCATTGAATTAAACAAGATAATCTTAATTGTCATTGTTTATTACCTGTGATCATTTCGCTGAACAAGTCTTCTTTCCCGTAAGTCTTTATTTCACATCGAAAAGCCTCACGCGAAGCTTCATTTCTATGCAGAGTAGCAGAAAACACTTCTTCTAATCTCTTTGTTTATATCTCTCTTGAAGAAGGAGTACGCCAAAGGATTAATAGCAGAGTTTAACATTAACAAAGAGATTTTATACTCCAGATCAGGACAAAATTTATACCGATCGCTGAAAATCACGAGGATACTGCATCGCAGATAAAACCCGTAGCAAACAAGAAATACGGAAATTACAATAGCCATCATTACGATGGAAGACTTTTCTTGAGTTTTAAAGGAAACTCGATGGTTAAAACTTAATTGTCTTTTCAATGAACGAGCGGTGCGCTTTTGTTTAATAACAACACGTAACATCGATACAAAGAAAAATATTAACATCGCACTTGGAAGGAACTCGAAAAATATAGTAATCAGCCACATCAAAATGCGAAAAAACAACAACACTTTAAACAAAAAAATCTCTAACGTGTAAATTGTTATAATTGCAGCTGGAATCGCCCAGGAAAAAAGAACCATTTGAATGACTCGGCGACGCGACATAAATGCCAAGTACTTTAGAGGTTTTACAACAGCGATGTAGCGATCCAGGACTAAACTGCACAGGTTTGTCACAGACGCATATGCGAAGAAATTCCTCACAATAGACACAAGTATATGTAGATGGTTGCACATATTTGCTTTGTTACAGACATACAGTAATGGAAAAGCGCTCATCCCAACACAGAAGTCAGCCACTGCGAGTGAAACAATAAACGCATTGGTTTTAGTTCGAAGTCGCCGTTTGTTGCAAACAAGGCAGATAATAAATCCATTTCCAGTCATGATCAGAATGGAAAGAGACCAGCCAAGAATCAAAAACCAAGTTTTCATTATCCGGGTGGAAATGGGCTTAAATCATTCTCTGAAGTTATACCAGTGACTTTTTTTTTATTTTCAAGGAAAACGTTTGCAAAACATCTGGTCATATGAATCTTCTTAAGTTTCCGTAAATTGACGCATGTAAATGACAAATTGCAAATTAGAGAAGGACCTGTCTAATAATTCAAACACAGCGGGAAAATCGGGTGTAAACGAACTCGGCTATAACTTGATTCCCCGCGCTAGTGGCGAAACAGAGGCGGGAAGACAAAACAAGAACAAGGGTATTTAAATAGAGAATAACCCATCGTAATCGGCGGGCAAAGCATACGAGATTTTAACACCGTCAGGTCTGTCAGACGAGTCAGTTTTTATCCGAACAGATAAATATTCTTTCGCGATAAAATAAATATTCAAATAGTCATTTCATAAATTTATGTTAGAAATTCAAATTCACTTAACACTTTTATCACACGCACCAAGGGTTAGCTGGAATATTCAGTATTGATTGAACACGGATTGGTTTCCGCGTTTGAAGGTCTGAATATTTACTCTACACAAGTGCATATTCGCGTAAAGAGGGAAACTAATATTCAAACAATCTCCTTAGACTTTTACAAACACACAATATGCAAATCTACCTGTCTCTCGTTCTGTCAATTGCAATCTGGGCGCATCCATTTTAAACACATGATCCGCGAAAAAATCATTTGGTAAACTGAGATCATGATTAGAAATATAAATCCAAATATTAATTAGAACACCAATGTCGGACATTTAACTCACAGTATTTCGACCAAACAGTCGCCTGCGTATCCACTAACATTTAATCGACCGACGATCTGTCTTCTTGGAACCTGCTGCAAACACCCGAGGGTGGTTCACCCACTCAGCAGTTCCTTTTTCAAGACGGCCGCCGACGAAACCAAGCCGTTAACACCACACAGAATCTCTTTCGTACGGATATTTGAGATTTAAAGAGGAAAAGGCTTAGAAATGTTGAGTGTAGAGAGAGCTATTGTTACTCGTAAGGACTGGATACAGTCCTTCCAGTATTTCTTCAGTTTTCCTGATATAGGAGAGGTACTATTACAAGATTGATGGCAAGAAGAAGGAGTATAACCCAAGAACACAACACAGTGGTCCAACTTGTAGTCATACTAAATTCTCCATCTTAAGTCCTGAGTGTTTATGCACATGTGCTTATTGGTTAAGTGGGAGGGCCAGACGGGAAAGAATTTGAATCATGGCCATGACGTACGGACCGAGCGCAGCGAGATCCGTGCTTCATGACCGATCAACATTCATTCATTCACTCTGACGAAGGGTTAACACCCGAAGCGTCAGCCCAGAAACTCTTTACGACGTCCAATTTACAGTATCACCTCAGTCGGTGAAACCAAATTATCTTGTTTTACCCCGCACTGACTCAGCACCGCGGTGTCTTTAGAAACTTACCCCTTTTATTCCTAAGTCCGGAATAGTTTGATAATATTCAGTATTGACAGCGTTGATTGATTTGTTCTTATAAATAGTTTCTCGATTCATGATGTTTCCGCTGACAGTTATAAAAAAAACATATTTCAATGTTCAGTTTAGGAATTACATTTGCACAGAGAAAAAAATCCGCCTTAGCACAGTAGTTCAAAATTTATTCACGTGCAGCAAATGATATAGCTTGTTATGATTAATTAGCTTCTAGAAATGATTGATTTTAAGAGCTAAAAATTTCTTGATTCTGTTATCATTCGCTAAAGTAACTACTAATTCGAAAATAATCTCCCTCAGAACATCAAACTTCATCTTTGTGAAATTGTAATACAACAGAAAAGTATAGTTTTAAAAAGCAATTCCCGCCCCAGTAACTTTTCTACTGTAATTCGGATTATGCCCAAATTCAGTAACAAAACATGGCGATTAACAAACTGACAACCTCCCAAAGCTTCATACACTAAACTTGTTGTCAGCGACTGAAATTCATTCTTTCATTTGCTAAAAGAAAATCTGCGTTTCCGTATCAAGGAAACAGATTGCGGGATCTTGCAAAGAAGTTTTACAGTTTAACTGAGATCTATAGATCTCAAGGGAACTGAGTCGTTTGATATCAACGATTTACTTCCCGGTAGAGGTTCCAAAGGACGTTTAACAGTCACTGCTACATAAAACTAAAGTTTACCGGACATTTTGTCTATAAAACTGACAAGTAAACGTTCGAAATGAAACATCAATTTCGCTTCTCTGTACAAAGTTCCACCAAACTGTAAAGGTAAAAATAGTGATCAACCTTAATTTCATAGCTGATCACTCGGTAGAAGTGCAAATTAATTCGAAATTCAATGGAAAACGAGTAAGACAAGTTACTAACGAATATGGTAAGCACTGCTTATTTCGACTTCTAGCTCTTAAATAAATTTCGACTTAAGTCATTCAAGTTCATTTTCTATTTTCAAGGATAAATTTGTTCCATATTGGTCCATCGTAACCCATTTCATGACTTCCTCAATTACGGTATTCTCACATTGCGTGTAATATTTACAGTGCAATAATCACAGCACGCTTTCTTGGCCCCTTAAATCAAAGTGGTTGGTTATAGAATGTGATCAAATCCGATAAATAGAATGTAAGGAAGACTAATTACGCTCGTATTGTTCTAAATACGCAGTTCACTTCATCCAGCTAAGGGCAGGCCAAGGCTGTCTTCACTAAGGCCAGATTCCCTCAGAAAATCCCCTTCTACAGCCGATCCTCCACTTTGGCAATTCTCGGCGTCTGTGTCTAAATCCCGGCAATTTCATTCTGCAGCCCGTTGGCGAAGGAAAATCTTGTCACGTTTAGCTGTAATCCTTTAAGTTATCTTGCAGTAAAATAAAGCGACACTAGAAAATGCGTTACTCTCCCTTGCTAACAATGTTTCGCAAGCGAATGTTTATTAGTCAGCGAAGAAGCATCACGATCCGAGAGAGCTCGTGAGGACCCGAGGAAAGTTGGTGCTAGCAAGCACTTCGCAAAAAAATTGTTGCGAGCGGGTAACAAATGAAATTGATTCCTTCCCTGGCCTAGCCATACATCACCCAGTGCTTGGCATAAATTATTTCAACGAGTGACCTGCGTGCGGCTTCTGCAACTGTTTTGCACCTTAGTCACTGTCCTCGTCGCTATCACCGTCCTGTTGTTTATGATCCGAAGGAGGTTGAAGTTTGTCAAGCTCATGTTTTAAGAGCGCAGAATTCTGCTTCAGTGACTGCACGTGATGTGATATAGCCCTACCAACCGGCCGGCCTGACAGCAGGCTCTCCGTTTCTTTTGTCCATTGCTCACACTGCTTTAGTATTTCATCTTTCTTGAGGTAAAAGTGCGCTTCAATAACCTGTGGATGATAGAGCGTTAGCAAACAGGAAGTAACTCTGAAACCCTGCCATTGGTTAACGTCATTTAAGGTCTTACGTCATATATTTTTCGCCGCTTGTTGCGACGAGGAAAAGAAATTTCATCAAGAAACAAACCGCAGTACATCACTTTGGTTGGATCTCACAAAACCATCAAAGTGCTCTGTGAGCAAACTCGTGAATTGACACATGATTTTTTGGATTATGTTTAATGTTATCTGGTTTAGGGATAATTGTGGTTGATTGTCATATCTAGAGTACGAGCAGTAGTTCAGTGTTCGCTAATGTAGCAAAGAAACAAAGTAACGTTGGGATAAGAAGGCATTACAATTGAAATGATCATATTATTGCATTTGACAAGGGTGGATGATGTCATGTGTTTTAAACGTATATCATTTCTCTTTCTGGTTCAAAAGAAAAGGTTGGAAGTAAATGTGAGTGAAAAGTGAAATTTACTGTCTATCATTGTAAATATTAGAAAATCAAGGCAATACTGTCTTAATGAAAACATTAACGATTCCCTCTTTATCAAATGAGACAAACGGGAACGAGTTTTGAGTGATATAACTTAGCCAAGACTGCCACCGTCATTTTGGATCTCCGCCTGGGTAGATTTTAGTCACGTGCTAGGCAACGTATAATCGATAAAAAGATAGAATTTCATTTCAGGCCTATTTATCAATTTTGTGGTATGTAACTTTCGTATTTTAGTACGTAATATGTATTTTGAATTGTTCTTTAAAAATTCACTGAAAATCGGTAGCTAAAATTGTTTGTTTAGGTATTATTTGATTTTCGCGTTAACTTGTAATTTCGTCAGTCTCCGGCATCTTTTGTTGCTTCAAACAGGAAAAACACACGATACGAAACGTAATGATCGATTTTGTCCTCAATATCACGCCGTAACAGAAAAAGCTTTTGAACATCTGTAAACTCCGAGCGCTTCGCAGTAAGTGAAATTTTCCATGAATATTCGGATTGTTTTCAAGTTCTAGGATTGTAAATTACAATGTTATGAAAAACGAGGGTTGTTCTGTTATTTCAGTGTGAATCCTTGCATGCCTGCCAGTCGCTGGCACCGCTTGTTGAAACTAAAACCAAAAAAAAAAACTTTTAAGATTATCATTGGCTTCTTTGTCACCCTACCACTATTCTTAGCAACAAAGGTCGCCATTCTGTTTGTTTATTGCTCGCCAAAAACAATCAAATGCACTCAAAAGCCTAAAATCGAAAAAAAGTTTGCAGGAATCGACCCAATCAAGCGAGCAAGCGAGTGCCATTCCCCACATCGTATCTACAACTCGCTCTTGCGCATGCGTGCAATTCATGAGTTAAAAATGGGAAAAGATACGCTAAAAGTATGGAATGGTTACGTACGGACCAATTTAAAAAAAAAATCAAGGTTTAATTTTTCAAGAAAAGCCGCTCATGAGCCCCCTTAATATTTTAACATGTCTTAAATTTAACGAGTCAAAAATATGGCGCAAACTGAAAATGTTGGGTGTCGTTTGTCTTTCCCATAGCGATCTAAACTTCGTGTAATGATGTGTAAAATATTGTCTCTTTGTAATATTTTAGGTTACGCCCTTTAGTGATTTACCTATCTGCAACACAGGGAGGGTGCAAAAACGTTGCAGTTGTTAAACCGAGGCCAAAGATGAACCTAAGATTCTATG